CTCTAACAAGAAATTTGGCTCCATTTCACTGACGATGATGGCATCCTCATTCTGGCAGTCTTCTTTTGTTATTGTTTTGTCGTCCCGCGAAAGCTGAGTCTCGTTGAGGTCGTAGGATAAGGTGGTCAAGCTTGACCTTGTGTGAAAACTGTTCAAATAAGTTTAAGTCCTGCGAAGTCGATCTACAGGGCATCATCGTGGAATGCAAGCCAAGTTATATACCGACTTATTCCAGTATTCTCGTTTTTAACCTGGATACATTCGCCAACTGCGAACGCCCAATAACTGATTTCTGTATGGAGAGACTTCTATGACACCCCTGGCCCCGGCCCCGGTTGGAACAGTGAACCGCTTGTGCTCATGAGCGATTCTAACTTACGCGATCCGACATCGTTAATGGATATTGGTCTCACTGACCGCCCTTGGTTTCCCACCAGGCTGGACGCCTGCCTGGATTGCGCAATGGTAAACAATCCCATGTTTTGAGCCTCTGGGTACTTTTCATCATTTTGTCCTTCCTCTCATATCACGCTCTGCAGCAAACAGGGGCACCGCAGTTTCTATCTTTATAATTTGGTGCAGTCGGCGTGTTCTTATTCAGGAGTCATTAGATGCTGAAAGGATTAGCCAGTTCCAGTCAGTAATGGAGACAAATGATCGGGACATTTACCAAGTCGATGACGTAAGCAAACATGTGGAGACCGCAATGGCGTACGTCTACTTTGACTTCGATACCTGTTGCCTCCAAAAGAAAATTGACTCCATCAAAACAGTCTTTAAATGGCTGCGGAGACAATTGGAACATGAAACTGATCGACTCAACCACGAGCACTCCGCTGCCATCTTGGTCAATAAACATGTGAAAGAAACATGGACCGCGAATAATCGTCTGAACAACTGGAAACCGAGACACAGAACCATTGATGCAGATCCTCAGATTCTGAGCAACTATATTTTACGATTCGACAGTGAGGAAGCATCCAATGATCCGCTTGGCGACTTGTCGGAAGGGATCCTTGTGAACTGCGAAATCGGCAGTCGTCGTATACCATTTCGACTGAAAGTGATTGACGGCAGATCAAGAAATTCTAAGCTTCCACGAATGAAAAACCCCACGGCTTGAATCTCATCGTCTTGAAGCTCTATGGCGATTCACTTTCTGAAATCTTTGTCTGATCGTATAATCGCTGTGCGTAAAGAGCACAAATGAATGGTCGTACCGGAAAGTACATGTACCTTCGGATTTAACGTTTGAAAGTGCCCGATTCATTGCATATGAATAATGAGGACGATTCAAATAGACTCAGAAGATTGCAGGGTAGTCCAATAAATTGCGGATTAGGATTATTCACAAGATAATTGATCTTCAATCATTAGAAACAACGTCTTTCCGCTTTGCCACCCATGGCTAGTGCAACGCAAGGTATGGATTCAAATTTCTACTCGTTCTTCGACCAATCGAGGAAACTGCGATAAAATGTAAGTACCGGAAGATAGAGCATTTCGTTACGTGCGTTGGCCATCATGCTGAAGAAATAGCGTAAACAACGGTTTAATACTGCACAGTGCTGTGTGGTCAGTCCGATGACTGATCAACACCGACGTTTCGACCCGTGTCTCACTGGTTCTTTCAAGGTAGATGG